AAAAGAAAAGAAAAGAAAAAGAAAAGAACGATGGACGAAAAGTAATCGAGCGTTCGTTCCTCGTGCGAACGGTACCATCGGAGCTCGCACGCCTCTGCCTCATCTCATCCTCTTGCTTTCGTTTATTGTCGCACATTCGCTGTCGTTTCTCTTTTCGTTTCATTCCCGTCTTTCAACATTGCCGACCGTTGTTCCGTGTCCATTCGAAGAGATACGGAGATTCCTCGAGGTCCCATCAAACGCGACGAATATACGAAACGAGTGACACTCTTTGGTCTGTCTGTCTGTCTGTCTGTCTGTCTGTCTATCTATCTATCTGTCTATCTATCGTCTTCTTCTGGTCGATTATCCGACGACCTTCGCTCTCTCTTCCTGCCCCTGACGTTTCACCTCTTTCACCTCTTTTCTCTCTCTCTCTTGCGTGCAAGACACGGTTCCATTCTGCGGAACGTGTACACAAGCACAACCGATTGCGTCTCGACGGCAAACGTAAAACGTACCAGTCCACTGGTCCGCGAGAACGCGACTTATGCTTCTTCAAAGTGGCTCTCCCCGTCTGGTGGCCATTTTGGCAGCCCTGGAAGCCAAAGCGCCCAATGAGCACACAAGACCCGTCAGGGTCTCCCAGAAAGTTGTCCTACGTGTTTTGTGCGCTGCCTGACCGACGTACCCCAAATAGTAGCCGGTGTAACGATCGTTTCCACAATCCGAGCCGCTGTCCGACCTGCCCACGCTGGATCGCGCCGACTTGGGTTGCTGCACGATACTCGGACGAGCGTGTTGTTGTTGCTGATGATGACGGTGGTGATAATGCTGATGGTGATGATGACGACGATGATGATGATAATGAGGAGGAAGGGGAACAGGAGAAGCAGGGGGAGTAGTAGAAGCAGACTCCTCTGTCTGATCGACGATACTCTGACGCGGCGAACCGTCCTCGTATCGTTGCTGAAGCTGCACGTTGCTCAATCGTCGATCCATCATTCGGACGAGGTTCTGGTGAACGCGGCGATCATCCTCGTGCACGATGAGCAATTGTCGCTGGCAACTGGCGGCTGGTAGCTCGTTCGCCTGTGTCGGCTGCTGTTCCACTTGTCAGGCATATTCGGTGTCCGTCGACGCGGATCTCTCCAGGTGAGCCTCATGATCACCGTGATGTTGCTGATTCTGATGCGGTTGCTGTTGCTGTTGCTGTTGCTGTTGCTGTTGCTGCGGCGGTTGCTGCTGCGGTTGCTGCTCTTGCTGCTCTTGCTGCTGCTGCTGCGCCTGCGTGTACGCCAGGCTCTTTTGATAGCTGAACAGCTGCTTCTCCAGGCTGTAGTTCTCCGCTTGCAGCGAGATGATCTCCCGTCTCATCTGCTGATTGTGGATGCGGCAAACGTCGTCGTACTTGTGATAGGTCGCCTGGAACAGTAGGTAGCTCTCGTTCCACTCCAGCCGGATCCTCAGCTGCCCCTTGTCCGTGAGGAACGGGCAATGATTCTCCTTCACCTCGTTCGTGTCGAGATTCGTCTCCATGATGATGCCCTCGTCCGTGGACTCTTGCACGTAGTAGCGACTGAACGGGACACCCGGTAGGCTGATCGGCTCCTCGTCCCGAAGCAGATACGCCGACCAGCTCAGGTACCTAGACGTAAAAGTCGATTAACATTATCGTTCATCGTTGCATCGTTCGCGAAAGTCAAAGATTCGCGACAGTGGAACCGATGCCACGAGACTGATCAAGTTTCTACCGTCGTAATCTACGAATCGTGAGATTCTCTCTGCGAGAACTACCAACCTCAAATGATTCCGCGGAACGTTGTGAATATCCTTGTAGATGAAATGCAGCCTGACAGTGTCGGAGTTCAAATCGGCTTGGATCATCCAGGCTTGGTTGTCGCGATCGTAACAGGGAGTTGTCGGGAGGTCCGAAGGCCCTCGAGCTTGCACCGCCACTTCGCAGATGGTCCTAGCTTCCATCATCTCGAGGGAGACCCGTAGCACGCCTTTGTGCGCGATTTCCGACCACTTGGCCTGCGTGTGCCAGCCGAGGCCGCATTGCTCCGCGGCCGACAGGTCCTCGAGCTGGCCGGAATCGATTCTCCGGTTGCCCTCGCCCAACGCCACGCTGTATTTCACTCTGCACCGATGATCGAACCCGCTCATCCTCATCAGGTAGACGCTGATGCCGGCGTCGTGGCCGCGGTAGCCCTCCACCTCCTTGTTGCCCTGAGGATAGATGACCAGGTTCCAGTCGAAGCCACCGAACGGGAAGTAATCGGTTTCCAGCTTGTTAGGCTTCGATTGTCCCGCCGAGAACGTGCTGCTTGGCATCTTCAGGTCGGTCATGTAGACGGTCCTCACGTTCGCCATCGACAACTCCAGCTGAAACTCGCCGTTCGTGTCGGCGAAGTTTCGGTTGTACAGGTCCGAGACCGAGATGTAGTTCCGGTTGCCCTGAGCCGGCGCCTCGTACGTGAACTTCACACGCTTGCCGGAGAAACCCTCGTTCA